GGAGCCCAAACTGCCTTCCAGGAAAACGGGGAGGCTTGTTCTGCCTGTACATCAAAGCTGGCAGGTGGGGAGGAGGAGCCAGAATGTCCTCCTGCAGCCCTGCTGTGCCCATGGCCTCCCCTTCCTTCTGGCTCTTTGCAGGTGGATGGGAGAAGTGGAGAAGGGAGGGGACGGTTGGTGCCGAGTGCATATGATCAGCAGGTTCCATGTGTGGCCTTTGTGCTCTGACCATGTGCATGCACACGGCCTGTGCTTTGTGGATCCCTTGTCTTGCAGAAGCTCCTGCTCCAAGTGGGAGAATCCAGAGCAGATCTCAGGGTCCTGGGGCAGTAACCACTGTCTGGGGAGTGTTATGGGCCAGAAGCAGGGCTCCTGCAGGATGTTAAGGGAGAGTAAGGTGAGGCCTGAGCTGGATGTAGAGGCTCTAGTCTTGGTTCTGCCATTTGTGAGCTGTGTCCTGAGCAAATTGTGGCTTCTCTGGGTCCCTGTTTTTCCATCCAAAAAGCCAGCAATTTGTTCTGAGGGCTTGCAAGGGGCTGTGTCTCTGTGGCCCCTGATGTGTGTGGAGTCAGCCAACAGTGAAGACAGGCCATGCGCCTGCCTCGTCCCTGTCCCTTGCCTGAGCCCTGAGAGCCAGGCCCTCTCTGAAGGCCAGAGGCTTGAGCGGGCTGGGGACGGGCACAGTCAGAGGTGGGGCATGCTGCGGCCTGGGTACCTTGGCAGCCACCTGGTCCCTCCGGTGCTGTGGAGGCAGAGGCAGAGGAGAAGTTCAAATTTGTGATGTGGGGCAAAGATGCTCCTTTGCGAACCATGCTACTTTTGGTCAACCACAGGGTCCCACAGGCAGCCCTGGTGTCCCCAGCCATCTGGAACCCTCTTCTCCTGTGCCCTGGCCTGCTGTCAGCTGGTGTGACACTGGCCACACACAGTTAGGAAGGGAAGCTGCACAGCTGAGAAACAGTGCTGCCTCCCCCACCCCCTCAACGCCTTCCTTTCTGTTCCAGGGCCTGGAGCATGCGTGGCGGTGTCGCTCAGAGCCCTCTTGGACTGGGAGGATTTTGCCGTCCCCATCCGTCCTCTTAGCCCCTCCCACTGAAAGGCGCTGTTATTGGTGGGACTGTGGTGGTAATTCATAGGTTCCCGGACTACCAGGACAGATCATTTCCAGCTGGAAATGGCATCTGGCTACAGGAGGGGTTGACTGTGAGGCTGTGCTCGGTCAATGGGAAGTTTGGGGTTTGGAGCAGGGACTGAGAAGCTGGAGTCCCTCTCTCTCCCCCAGAATATGTGAGGCCAGCAGAGACCACTTCTGTCTTGAGGTGGGTGGGGCAGGGGACCCCTGACCCTGCTGGCCGTTAACCAGTCCCCACCTTGAAGCTGCAGGGCAGGGCTGAGCTGACACGCCGAGGCAGGAGCGCGCCCCAGTCATCCTCGCGTCCCGGCCTGCTGTTCCCTGCTGTTCCCTGTGCGGCCCTGACATTTCCCCCAGGCGCATACCAGCACAGGACAATGAAGCTGAACCCCCCGGCCCCCACACCGGCTGGGCTGCCTGGGCTCATCTGTCAGTCACCCGATCCCCCGCACCTGCTCCAGGCTAGGCTGTGCTCACTCGCATGGCTATGAATAGGGAGGAGGGAGGGCAGCGGGGCATTCAGGGGGCAGGAGGATGAGGGGGCGCCTCTCGGGGTGATGGGGGTGCAGTGTCCCTCTCAGGCTGAGAAAGGGGAGAAGCAGAGCTTGTTTGGGGGAGGTTGCTAGCTGGGCCGGAAGCACCTGCAGAAAAGCCGAGGAGAGGGTGGGAGGCCGGGGATCAGAGGACAGGACAGGCGCCCGAGTGCACCCTCCGAGTCTCCGGGTCCATGCAGCATAGCCGCAGGGGTGGCTCCTGGGCAGGTTCTGGGCAGATTTCTGATGATCCCTTGTAGGATTTCTCTCTCTCCCGCCCTCTCTCTCTCTTTCCCCTCCTCTATGTACCACTCAACCCTCAGCTCATTCATTCCACTTGCTCTCCTCCTAGTATAAGTTCCTTGAGAGTAGAGGCAACATCTGATCCACCTGGGCCCCGCTCCCCTGGCCAGGCTGGGCCGAGGCAGGATTAGTAGATGACCCTGGGATTGGAGGGGCAGGTGAGGCCAGAGACCCCGTGTATTTGGGGTGGGGGCAGAGCTGGGGTTCAGAGGACTCCCAGAGAAGAGGAGATAGAAGGTCCTTCCTTGTGGCCAAGAGACCTCTCTCCTTACCCAGAGGTGAGAGGTTGACAGCCACATGCAGCCTTTATTAAATGTTCCCCTGCCCTGGGCGGGCCCAAGCCCTGAGGAACACTTTGTTCTTGCTTCCAGGGGGCTTCCCATCTGGAAGGGGGCCAGGCCATCTGAACAGATTCTGCCAGTGCAGGGTGACCAGGGGCTGGCCAGATAGACAGCTGTGGGGATCCTGGGAAAAGCTGGGAGGGGTCGTGCCAGCCCTGCCTGAGCACAGCATTCTTTCAGGTGGCACATGAATAACCATTTCTTCTTGGATAGTTAGTGATTATTTTCATGTATACTAGAAAATATAGAACCTCAGATTTCATGAGTATATTCCTTAAAATGGAGTTAAGATATAGAAATGAGTGTATTTGAAAGAAACCTTTAGGGGTATAGTGGGGCATGTGGTAGGTGGCATTAATCAGAGGAGGCTGGCAGTGGCTAAAGCCTGAGAGGCATCACTTTTATGCTCTGGCCTCATCCCCCAGCCAGCGCCACCCCTCATCCACCTCTCCATGTTCAGGTGCCTGCCCTTCCCAGGCGGCTGGGTGTCCTGCCAGTCTTTCTCAGGCATAGTCCACGCCTCTGCCCTGTGCTTCTAGCTGCAGCATATTTTGAGCACACAAACTGTCCCGCAGGCCTTTTTAAGTCTGACAAACTTGGTCTCCCAGGAGGAGCATATGACTTAGTAGAGAAAATACGAGACAGAAAGCCAGATTTTGGTCCCCGTTCACCTAGTACTTAACTGTAAGGCTGTGGGCCAGTCACAGCTGCGATTCATTCCCAGCCCACCGGAGGCCTGGCTAAGTCTGTTTAGGCAGATTCAGGTCCCTGAACCTGCCTTCTGCACCCGCACCACACAGTGGGCAGCCCCGAGGCCAGCTAGGGGTGGGATGGAGGTATTTACAACACTGCTGTTTATTTCAGAGGCTGAGTATTGATCTGAGTGTAGCATTATTCCTTTTTTCTCTCTTGCTAGTGGCATCATTAAAGCCATTGCAGAGCATAGTAAAACTTACACCATTCTATTTCAACATGAAAACAGCGTTTTTTTCCCTCATCAGAGAAGTAACACATCGTCATTCTGTTCCAGAACCAGATTTTCTTTTCCCCACTCAATAATATGTTGTAGTCAATTCACTGTGGAAAATTCAAGTCCTTCTCAACATTTTTTGTGGCTACATAACATTTCTATTATGCCATTGGACATTCAACGCCCGCCTGCCAAGCTAGGGAGCATTCTTGCTCTGAGAACCTTTCTCCAAAGGAGAGGAAAATAATGTCCGAGCGCCCTCTGGAGGCCAATAACGGAACTGCCTAGTGCCTGGCTCAGCGGTGCCAGAACCTTCCTAGAGTTCTGGTCTGGGGCTCCCCCTGCATTTATGGAGCTGTACTCTGGATCCAGCTTGGTAGTGATTTAGGACTAGTTGTGTGTGGGGTAGGAGAGACTTTACCCTAAGAATAAGGCTTCTGTAGTCCGTGCACGTCTTCTGAGTCTTCAATTGCTCTGTTAGCACCCCGGGCTCAGACAGGACGATTCGATGTGGAGCCTGAGCTCTGGGGATGGGGACCCCAAGTGGCCTAGGGCTTCAGAAATACAGTCTTGTCTTCAGCGTCTCCGAGGCACTGGAGTCCTGTGTCTCCCTTCCTCTCCTGTGGCTGTTTGGGACAGTCACTGTAGCCTGAATTTCTGGGGCCTGTCACTACCAAGCCGCATGGCCCTGCACAAGGCCTATGGATGGGGAGCTTCACTGATCAAACTGATCAAATCCTCCCTGACTCCTCTCCCAGGGAACGGGTGTGAAAATCCTGGTTTGATTCCACCTTTTCTAAAAGGGAAATTTCAAATCAACCTCACATCCAGCAGGAGGTGTTCTAGGCTGTGCTTTCAGTAGGGCCAGGAGGACAGGTTGTTCGGGGACTGTGGAGAAGCTGGTGGAGGGGACCAGGGGCTCGTGAGCCAGGCTGGGGAGTGAGACACATGTTCTCTTGTAGCAAAGGGGCCGAGTGAGAGGGTTTTAACCACAGCGTGGTGCAGTCAGACTTGTATTTTTGAAGAGAACTCTCAGAGCAGCTAGAATGAATCAAAGGGAAGACTAGTGTCAGGAGACTGGAGGCTGAACCAGAAATGTAAAGCAGTCAAGGGTGACAGGACTCAATAATGCCATCAAGATGGGCAAGAGGCCATCCCCCAGAGCATTGGCAGGGGCTGGTGACCTGCTGGACCAGAGGATGAGGAATAGTGGAGTCCCAGCCTCCCCTCCTACTCCCCCTGTTCCAGCCTTCCATTCTCACTTTCTATCCTCCTGCTTTCTTCATCATCAAAATTGACTCTGGAAAGAATGTGATACATTAATTTATACTAAAATAGAAATGACTGATATATTCAGGTGTTTGCAATTTAGTAAGGACAGAGCCTTAGACTATAACACCTGAAGTCCTATAGATAAAATCTGGGGCCCTACCTGATGGATATGTTGCTACCTGAGTGAGCAGCTGTGGCCTGAAACTAATGCAGGGCCCAGGAATTATTTTCCATTGTTTAGGCAACACACCCTGATTTTATACCAGGCCTGGATGTGTAGAAGGAGGAAACTTTCCAAGATCCTATTGTCCAAGCTCTTTTTAAGCCCTCCGGTTGCTTCCTGGCCTTAGACCCTGGACTGTAGCCCCAGACGTCTCCTTGGCTCTGCCCCCAGTAGGTCCCTGCTGACTTATCTGTATGCTTCTTGGCCTCCCCATGTCTCCCTCCAGGCAGACCTCAACACCAACATTGAGGATGAAGGCAGCTCCTTCTATGGGGTCTCCAGCCAGTACGAGAGTCCTGAGAACATGATAATCACCTGCTCCACCAAGGTCTGCTCTTTCGGCAAGCAAGTGGTAGAGAAGGTGGAGGTAGGAGGCCATCTGGGGCACCTGTTACACTGGACCTTTCCACCAATTTGGGCTCGTCTTCATTCCTGTCCTCATCTCTTTCCCCGTATTTGTCTGAATTCATGGAAGTCTTACCCTCCCAGTCTCTCGGTTATCAGTAACTCACCTCATGTCCACCACAACCATGTGCCAGGCTAGCACCCAGGAAGACAGTCCCCCATCCCAGTGCTCAGCCCTGGCCACGCCGTCCTTCACCTGGGAGCTTTGGAAACACACCAGTGGCGACCCACTCCCCAGCACTTAACCCAGCCTCTAGGGAGGAATCTGGGCGATAGTGGCTTGTAAACAGCCTGCCAAGCTATTTATTTAAATCACACTTTTATTTTGAGATAATTGCAGATCCGTATGTGATTGTAATCCCATTGATGCCTCCCCCAGCTCCCCCAAAGGCAGCATCTTGCATACCTAGAGCACACAGTTGTGGCACCAGGAAAGCAACATCGAAGCAACACAGCCGTCAAGTTCAGGGGTCCCCAGGCACTCTGTGCAGCCAGGGTTGGGCTGTCACTTTCTCCCAGTGCCCAGTGCTGCCCCTCTTCCATCTTTAAGCTCCCTTCTCTGATCCCCGGTTTCTGCCTGTCCCTGAGGGAGGAGGCAGGCTCTGTTCTCAACCAGGCCTCCTTCCTTTTCTTCCCACATAAGAGCCAGTGGGTCTTGGAGCTTCCCCGTGGACTTAGGCCTGGGCTGCACATGGTCAAAAGAGATTTTAAGCCCCTGCTGTTCCCTGGGTCCTACAGACAGAGTATGCCCGCTATGAGAATGGCCACTACTCATACCGCATCCACCGGTCCCCGCTCTGTGAGTACATGATCAACTTCATCCACAAGCTGAAGCACCTGCCGGAGAAGTACATGATGAACAGCGTGCTGGAGAACTTCACCATCCTGCAGGTGGCTGGCGGGAGCCGGTGGGCGGTAGGGGAGTGGCGGGCTTGCTTCTGGGGCCTTGACCATCTTCTTTTCCCTCACCTGCAGGTGGTCACCAACAGAGACACCCAGGAGACCTTGCTGTGCATTGCCTATGTCTTTGAGGTGTCAGCCAGTGAGCACGGGGCCCAGCACCACATCTACCGGCTGGTGAAAGAATAAGAGACACGGGGAGCAGGGAGGGGGGGGAGACATCATGTGTGCAGGGACATGGGGAGGGGACCTGCGGTGATAGCCCCTGAAGGGCCACGGTTGCTGAGAGGTCGTGACCCTTTCTGCCCAGGAACAAACTGCCTGAACCTGCAGTGCCCGAGCCCAGATAAACGCGGGGTGTCATGACTTCAGAGGGCCTGACCTGTGGTGTGGGCCTTAGGAGGGACTGTGGGAGAAAGGGGCAGCCTGGGAAGCAGGCCAGAAGCAGCCCCAGACGCTTCCCAGCAGTTCTGAAGCCAGCGCCCCGGCGGACTCAGCTGTCCATGTCGCCAGACGCTGAAGCATGAGGCGGATGGTCCCTGTGCTGCGCTCTGCCAGCCACGCCGGGAGGCCCAAGGATGGGCACACAGGACCCCGTCCTGTGCATGCCCGTGCATGTGCCCACCAGGGCCCCTCTGTGGCCATCGCCCCGGGACAGTCTGGGGGAGGCCTGGCCCAGCCCAGGGTGCGGGTTTTAGTGAGGTGGTGGTAACAGTTGTAAGGTTGAAAGGCACATGGTCAGAGCTCTTTAAGCAAATTTCATCTGTCTTCAGTGGGCATGGATTGCAGGTCCACACCGGCTGCTTGGGGCAACTGGTCCCAGGCCAGAGCAGCTCAAGACAGGGAAGGCAGGTATGGCCGAGCCGAGCCAGCCTGCCGCGTTTCAGGGGTGAGGCTGGCATCACGCAGTGTCGTGAAGGCTGAGGAGGGCAGTCAAAGGCCTGTGATGGACCCGTGGCCTCTGCGACTCCCCAGCTGTGCCTTCTGTGAGTCTCAGCTCAGCCTGCCTGGAGCCGGGGCAGGCCTTCCACTACCACCCCAGACAGTGTCTGTGTTCCCTGGGGGTGGAGGAGAAGGAGCATGGGACCCCCTCTGGGCCTCGAGGGGTCCCCTGGGTCATTGCTTCCTAGAACTAGCACGCACTCTAGGTTTCCGCAGACCTGGCTTCGGCCCCACTGCTCCTGGCTGTCTAACCTTGGGTGAATTTGTCCACTTTCTGAGCCTTAGTGTCCTGTCTCGCCGGCCTTGGGAGGCCTCAGGGAGGGGAGAGTCTGTCTGTAAAGTGCCTGGGGCAACAGGCATAAGCGACTTCCTGCCTTAGGGCTCCCCTCCCGCAGGACCACGCGGCCTGACTCTTTGCTGCCACCTAGTGGCTTTCTGGTATCATCCCTGACGGGAGGTAACTCCGGGAATCTGGGGTCAAGGGGAGCTGCAGGTTCACTGTGTGCCCAGCTCTGCGGGGCATGTATGGGAATACAGAGAGGAGGAAGATGGCACCTAGGAGGTACTGTGGAGAAGCTGGTGGAGGGGACCAGGGGCTCGTGAGCCAGGCTGGGGAGTGAGACACATGTTCTCTTGTAGCAAAGGGGCCGAGTGAGAGGGTTTTAACCACAGCGTGGTGCAGTCAGACTTGTATTTTTGAAGAGAACTCTCAGAGCAGCTAGAATGAATCAAAGGGAAGACTAGTGTCAGGAGACTGGAGGCTGAACCAGAAATGTAAAGCAGTCAAGGGTGACAGGACTCAATAATGCCATCAAGATGGGCAAGAGGCCATCCCCCAGAGCATTGGCAGGGGCTGGTGACCTGCTGGACCAGAGGATGAGGAATAGTGGAGTCCCAGCCTCCCCTCCTACTCCCCCTGTTCCAGCCTTCCATTCTCACTTTCTATCCTCCTGCTTTCTTCATCATCAAAATTGACTCTGGAAAGAATGTGATACATTAATTTATACTAAAATAGAAATGACTGATATATTCAGGTGTTTGCAATTTAGTAAGGACAGAGCCTTAGACTATAACACCTGAAGTCCTATAGATAAAATCTGGGGCCCTACCTGATGGATATGTTGCTACCTGAGTGAGCAGCTGTGGCCTGAAACTAATGCAGGGCCCAGGAATTATTTTCCATTGTTTAGGCAACACACCCTGATTTTATACCAGGCCTGGATGTGTAGAAGGAGGAAACTTTCCAAGATCCTATTGTCCAAGCTCTTTTTAAGCCCTCCGGTTGCTTCCTGGCCTTAGACCCTGGACTGTAGCCCCAGACGTCTCCTTGGCTCTGCCCCCAGTAGGTCCCTGCTGACTTATCTGTATGCTTCTTGGCCTCCCCATGTCTCCCTCCAGGCAGACCTCAACACCAACATTGAGGATGAAGGCAGCTCCTTCTATGGGGTCTCCAGCCAGTACGAGAGTCCTGAGAACATGATAATCACCTGCTCCACCAAGGTCTGCTCTTTCGGCAAGCAAGTGGTAGAGAAGGTGGAGGTAGGAGGCCATCTGGGGCACCTGTTACACTGGACCTTTCCACCAATTTGGGCTCGTCTTCATTCCTGTCCTCATCTCTTTCCCCGTATTTGTCTGAATTCATGGAAGTCTTACCCTCCCAGTCTCTCGGTTATCAGTAACTCACCTCATGTCCACCACAACCATGTGCCAGGCTAGCACCCAGGAAGACAGTCCCCCATCCCAGTGCTCAGCCCTGGCCACGCCGTCCTTCACCTGGGAGCTTTGGAAACACACCAGTGGCGACCCACTCCCCAGCACTTAACCCAGCCTCTAGGGAGGAATCTGGGCGATAGTGGCTTGTAAACAGCCTGCCAAGCTATTTATTTAAATCACACTTTTATTTTGAGATAATTGCAGATCCGTATGTGATTGTAATCCCATTGATGCCTCCCCCAGCTCCCCCAAAGGCAGCATCTTGCATACCTAGAGCACACAGTTGTGGCACCAGGAAAGCAACATCGAAGCAACACAGCCGTCAAGTTCAGGGGTCCCCAGGCACTCTGTGCAGCCAGGGTTGGGCTGTCACTTTCTCCCAGTGCCCAGTGCTGCCCCTCTTCCATCTTTAAGCTCCCTTCTCTGATCCCCGGTTTCTGCCTGTCCCTGAGGGAGGAGGCAGGCTCTGTTCTCAACCAGGCCTCCTTCCTTTTCTTCCCACATAAGAGCCAGTGGGTCTTGGAGCTTCCCCGTGGACTTAGGCCTGGGCTGCACATGGTCAAAAGAGATTTTAAGCCCCTGCTGTTCCCTGGGTCCTACAGACAGAGTATGCCCGCTATGAGAATGGCCACTACTCATACCGCATCCACCGGTCCCCGCTCTGTGAGTACATGATCAACTTCATCCACAAGCTGAAGCACCTGCCGGAGAAGTACATGATGAACAGCGTGCTGGAGAACTTCACCATCCTGCAGGTGGCTGGCGGGAGCCGGTGGGCGGTAGGGGAGTGGCGGGCTTGCTTCTGGGGCCTTGACCATCTTCTTTTCCCTCACCTGCAGGTGGTCACCAACAGAGACACCCAGGAGACCTTGCTGTGCATTGCCTATGTCTTTGAGGTGTCAGCCAGTGAGCACGGGGCCCAGCACCACATCTACCGGCTGGTGAAAGAATAAGAGACACGGGGAGCAGGGAGGGGGGGGAGACATCATGTGTGCAGGGACATGGGGAGGGGACCTGCGGTGATAGCCCCTGAAGGGCCACGGTTGCTGAGAGGTCGTGACCCTTTCTGCCCAGGAACAAACTGCCTGAACCTGCAGTGCCCGAGCCCAGATAAACGCGGGGTGTCATGACTTCAGAGGGCCTGACCTGTGGTGTGGGCCTTAGGAGGGACTGTGGGAGAAAGGGGCAGCCTGGGAAGCAGGCCAGAAGCAGCCCCAGACGCTTCCCAGCAGTTCTGAAGCCAGCGCCCCGGCGGACTCAGCTGTCCATGTCGCCAGACGCTGAAGCATGAGGCGGATGGTCCCTGTGCTGCGCTCTGCCAGCCACGCCGGGAGGCCCAAGGATGGGCACACAGGACCCCGTCCTGTGCATGCCCGTGCATGTGCCCACCAGGGCCCCTCTGTGGCCATCGCCCCGGGACAGTCTGGGGGAGGCCTGGCCCAGCCCAGGGTGCGGGTTTTAGTGAGGTGGTGGTAACAGTTGTAAGGTTGAAAGGCACATGGTCAGAGCTCTTTAAGCAAATTTCATCTGTCTTCAGTGGGCATGGATTGCAGGTCCACACCGGCTGCTTGGGGCAACTGGTCCCAGGCCAGAGCAGCTCAAGACAGGGAAGGCAGGTATGGCCGAGCCGAGCCAGCCTGCCGCGTTTCAGGGGTGAGGCTGGCATCACGCAGTGTCGTGAAGGCTGAGGAGGGCAGTCAAAGGCCTGTGATGGACCCGTGGCCTCTGCGACTCCCCAGCTGTGCCTTCTGTGAGTCTCAGCTCAGCCTGCCTGGAGCCGGGGCAGGCCTTCCACTACCACCCCAGACAGTGTCTGTGTTCCCTGGGGGTGGAGGAGAAGGAGCATGGGACCCCCTCTGGGCCTCGAGGGGTCCCCTGGGTCATTGCTTCCTAGAACTAGCACGCACTCTAGGTTTCCGCAGACCTGGCTTCGGCCCCACTGCTCCTGGCTGTCTAACCTTGGGTGAATTTGTCCACTTTCTGAGCCTTAGTGTCCTGTCTCGCCGGCCTTGGGAGGCCTCAGGGAGGGGAGAGTCTGTCTGTAAAGTGCCTGGGGCAACAGGCATAAGCGACTTCCTGCCTTAGGGCTCCCCTCCCGCAGGGCCACGCGGCCTGACTCTTTGCTGCCACCTAGTGGCTTTCTGGTATCATCCCTGACGGGAGGTAACTCCGGGAATCTGGGGTCAAGGGGAGCTGCAGGTTCACTGTGTGCCCAGCTCTGCGGGGCATGTATGGGAATACAGAGAGGAGGAAGATGGCACCTAGGAGGTGTTATGGAGTGGCGGTTAGGAGCAAGAGCTCTGGAGTCAGACTGCTGGGATTGGAATCCTGGTTCTCAGCTGCTGACTAGCTGTGTGACCTTGGGGCAAGTCACCTACTTTCACTGTGCCTCAGTTTCCCCATCTGTAAAATGGGTATGATAATAGTACCTACCTCGTATATGTAGAGTGCCTAGCCTAGTGCTGAGCACATCAGTGTGTTCAGTGAATATAAATTATTATGAAGAGAGGAGCTGGCCATCTAAGGAGTCAGGTTGGAAAACTCCTGAGTGAGGCTGGTGGATCCTCAGAGTGGCTGGAATTCAGAGATGGGAGAGGGCAGACTGTGGGAGATCCAGGGAGGGGGTCGCAGTTGAGAGGCGGTCCGGTAAAGGGTGGGCAGCGTTCAGAGGAGCAGACAGGAAGAAGGCTGGCAGCGTTCGGATGGTGGGGAGAAGCCCACTGCCCCGTGTGCGCCATCCTCCACGGCCACACTCCTCTCTTCACCCCAGAGCAGCCTGAACCACACATTCTGGGCCGCTGCAAACCTCGTGCTGAGCCTCCCAGCTCCACTGCCAGTGGAAATGGCTCTCACAGGATGTGCTGTGGAGACGGGGCATGGGGCCCTGGGTCCCCGGGCGGGTGGCATGTGCTCATGTGTGCAGGTGTGTTTGTATAAGGCTCCCCCAGCCCCCACCCCAGCATCACAGTCCTCACCATCTCCCCTTGCCCTTCTCCCCTCCCCTATTCCTGGGCCTGGGCCTGTTTGGGTGGGGGCTGCTCACGAAGCCTGCCCTTCTCGCTTGACTGTGAACCTTCAGACAAATGCTTCTGAAGGACGTGTGAGCAGCCCCCTGGCCATGGCTGGGATGCACACATTCAGGAGGTGATCTTCTTGTGTTGCAGGTGGGAGGGAGTCAGTGCAGATCCTGCTGGGGCCAGGTGCGGGCTGAGCTTTCCCTTCTCTTTATGAACTGACCTCAGAGGCCTAATGGAGAGTCACTTACCTACAGCGTAAATTCCAGACTAGTCAGCCATGGAGAATGCAGATGGGGTGTCCTCTCCCCCTGGTGTGCAGACTTGGAGGACAGGCGGGAGGCCTGGCCCAGTCTGCCTCCTGCAGCCTCACCTGACCCTCACCTGTGTTCTGAATTGTGTACCCTTCCCAGCACCTCCCCCTGCCTTTTGGCCTCTGTTCCACACGATCCGGCCAGCATCGCCCACCCCGCTCTCCCTGGAAGTTGGTTGCCCATTCTCAAGGGCCAAGGCTAGTCACTCCTGCCCTTGTGTGGCAGAAGCATTTCCGCCCATGATCGTTTGGAGCACCTGTTAACCTGGTGCCGGAACACAGGTGTCTTGTTGTCTCTTTTCATCATCTCCTGCTAGGTTCTGTGCTCTCCCCATTTTACAGATGAGGAAAGTTGGGGCACAGAGAGGGGAACTCACTTGCTTGGCATATCACTGCCTCTATTCATTCACTTCGCAGATATTCACTTCACTTCTGCTTTGTGCCGGATACTGGGAATGTATCAATGACCAAGACAGAAGAGGCCCTTGGGGAGCTTATGTTTTACTGAGGAAGAAAGAGTAAACAAGCAGGTAAACAGGCCATGTAGCCTGTGATATGTCAGGAAACGAGGGTGCAGAGGTTGAGGGTCACTGGGGAGCCTCTCTACAGCCTGGGGAGGGTGAGGAAAGGCCTTCTTAGGAGAGGCAGGAGGGTGGCTGGCATGTCCCAGCCACAGAGAGGAGCGAGTGTCGGGAATAAGGAGAGATGAGTGGGGAGCTGTGGAGGCAGGCAGGGGCTCCTCCTGCCCAGCCAGCCAGCCAGGTGGGGGCAGCCGGCCAGTGGGGAACAGCCGGCCAGGTGGGGGGCAGCCGGCCATCCGGCTCCCTCTGCAGGCCAACAGCCCCTCACTTGGTAAGGACTGTGGATTTTATTCCATGTGAAGGGAGATCTTGGAAGTGTGTTAATCCAGGGAGTCTTTTTGATCTGATTTTAGAAAACTCTGGGATTGCCATGGACTGCAGAGAAGCACGTGTGACTGTCTGCTTCTCAGCCAGTCTCTCCTCCCGGACTCACTGTCTGTGGGTGGAGGCAATGGATTTCCTGGTTCTGTAAACTGAACGTGGTGTTCTGGAACATAGCAGGTGCCCGGGAACCATTTGATGAATGAGTGCATGTGTCCAAGGCAGTGCGATCCACACCGTTTGGGCCTGGAAGGTGAGAGGGGTCCCTGAGCCCCTTGCCCTTCTGTCACCATGTAGGGCCAGCAGCCACGTTGTTGAGATGGGGACATGGGAACGGACCGCCCATCCCATGGAGTCTGATGTTGACTGAGCACACTGTGCCCAGGGGCCACCAGAGACCTCCCATAGGGTGGGATGGTCCTAATGAGAGAGAAACCCACCAGAAGGGACTTGGGGCGTGTGCCTGCTTGTGTGCATGCGTGTGCAGACACAGGCTCTGCCCTTTCAGGACTGAAGCTGGTAGCGTGAGGACCAAGGGGCAGCCAAGGGGCTTCCTGGCTCAGGCCCCCACATTCGGGGTGCTTGGTCCAGCACCCGCTCCCTCTCCCCAGTGGGCGGGTTCAGAGGACAGTGGGCTCCGTAGTGACTGGAGCTGAAGGGCGGCCATCCCTTGTGAGCAGCAGTGTGGCAGCAGGGAGCCCCTGACACCTGGCAGGACTAGGCCAGGTGCAGGCTCACCTGGGCCGCACCTGCACAGGGTAGGGAGGTAAGGGACAGCGGCAGTGCATTTGGTTTTACCTCAGGGACAGTGACACCAGTGGTTACTGTTTGACCCCTTCTTTATCCATATGTCAGCTCCCAGAATGCAAACGAGAAGCTTTTCCCCAAAGAGTTAAATCTACATCAGTTGGTCTTAAGGACTTCAACCCTGGAGTGGGGCTGATCGAGGGCTGAACTGGCTTCTTACAAGTGTGGTCTTGGGCAAATGACTTAGCCTTCGTGGCCTCATCTGTGAAGTGGGGATAACAGGGCTTCAACTTCCAGCTGCTGTTGGAAGGAAGGAGTGTGGCTGTGAGCATGAAGGCGGGTGCCGAACTGGGCTCCCAGTGCACCCTCAGAGAGCTGGGCAGCTGGGCGTGTAAAGCCTGCCCTGACCCAGCTCTCCCACCCCCAGAACACACGCACTTGACTTTCATCCTCACCCCTTATCAGAAATGGAAGGAAGTTCCTAACTGGGAAAATAATTCTGTGGCCTATGTGGGTGAGGCAGAGTCCCCAGGGAAGGTTTGAAAGGGAGGACTGGACGAATGGTGGGCGAAGCCACTCTGAACAAGAAACGTCGGAATTTGGTTTTTGTTTAATTCCTGAGAAAGGTCAGGGAGAGGTTTGGTCCAGTACCTTTTCGGAAGGCTGAAGCCCGCTAGTGGAAGTGGCAAAGGGTCTTTTTAAGCTCATGGATGTCTAATATTCAACTTTAAGTTTTTTGTATTTTTGCTATGTAAACCCCCTTTGTCTCTCCAAATCTTCAGTAAAGTCAGCTACTGACACACAGGCCCTTGTGAGTCATTTCTTTTTACAGAAATAAAAGTATCTCATCTGTCAATAGAGCAGAAAAACTGCAGACTGGAGCCATGGAAAGAGCCAGGCCAGCAGGAGCCGGAGCTCAGAGCCACCGAGAGCTGCCTGCCCAGCCAGCCCAGGCCCCTGCGGGAACAGGAAGCCCTCGAGTTGCCGGCAAACGCGAGGTCAAGTCCCAGACCATGACACTGGGCCATCAGAGAACAAGTCCTTGGCTGCATCTGGGTTACATAAATTCCTTACCACCTCCTAAGTGGGGTGGTTCTGACACCAGGTTCCGTGAGCACTGCTGTATTTTGAAAACATAGCATTAGGGACTTAATAGAAACAAACAGACACAAAAACCATTGGATTTGAAAAGCAGTCAGGTTAAGAGATCTAGGCACTGGTGGGATGCGGTCTCTCACTTGGCATCATAGGAAGTTGATTTCAGCCCTTGACCTAGGAGTGAGTGGGCCCACAGGACTGGCTTGCTAACCAGAACGACCTTATTGATCAGCCCCTTGATTAATTCACATCGGGCAGGGCGGCTGCCAAGTCGTGGGGTGCATGTCTGCTTGTCAGCACCTCCTTTCTCCCCCTGGGAAGAAAGAAATCTATCACTGGTGGTTGGTGGCTTCTGCATATGTTCAAACAGGGTGTTGGGTGAGCTTAAAGGACTGTATGCCATCAATGTGGCAGCACAGGCTGGTGCCCTGTGCCCACTTGGGGAGTTCTCCCAAGGAATCCTATGTTCTGGACATTGGTGAGGGATGGCTTCTTCTTTGGCACCACAAGTCCCATGACATCATGCTGAAAAGCTTCAATGCTTGTGAATATCCCATCCAGTCCGCAAACACTACCGAACCCCTGACCTGCATTAGCTGCCGCACTGCATTCGTTCTGCCTGGTTTCAGGGTCTGAAGGGCATAATCTGAAGCCCTGTTTACCTGAAGCAAATACTCCCCACTTCTCTCCCTGTCTGCCTTGACAGGGCCTGTGGTCACAGTCTCAGTCCAAGGCTGGACCAGCAGCCTGACGCCATTCCCTCATCTTTAGGTCTGGGAGTGTGGAGGCCAGGTGGCCTTTGTGTATTTTCTGTGGCTCAGATTTGTGGGCCACCCTGGGCACCATAGACAGGCTTACAGTTTGGGATGGAGGAACAGAAGGAAAGGGAAAGGAGCCAGCAAACAGGGAAGGGGTGAGAGAAGAGCAGGGCTGGGAGTGCCATCACTATCATCCAAGGCTGGTCCTCTCGGGCACTGCTGGCAGCAATTCGGGGTGCAGGTGGCTGGTATGGCTCAGCTGTCATACTGACACACAGCAAACATGTACTGAGCACATACTGTTTGCCAAGCAGTGTTCTCAGTGCTGAGGGGCCGGGAAAAAGGATGAATTATTTGCTCTTACGGACTTGCCATTCTAGTGGGGGAGGCTGATAAGAAGTAGCAAGAAAAGAACAGGAAGCAATTAGAGCTTTGATGAAAATAAAATGGGATAAAGTATGAGAACAGGGTTTGGCCATATCCAACCCACCCAATGACTCCCACTTTTTGGATAGCCTGGGAGCTAAGAATGGTTTCTACATTTTTAACTGGTTGACAAAAAAAAATCGAAAGGAGACAAACACTTGTGACCTCTGAAAATGATCTGCCATTCCATTTCAGGGTCCAAAAGTGCAGTCTTCCTGGAACAGAGCCTCCGTCGCTGGGGCCTGCTCTTGATGGCTGCTTGCCTGCTGTGGCATGGTGCTGAGTGGTGGCTGGGCTCCGACCACGGGCCAGTGTGGAGGGCCTGGCTGCTCTGCCCACCTGCGGGGCTCCTGTTAGGAAGTGTATTTCTTTAAGGTGTTTCTTTCTAGCCAGGTCAGGTTCCGTGGGAAGGGCTCCTCCAGTTCCTTGTGGGGGAGAACTGGCCCCAACATCCTTTCAGCCACATGGGAGAAAAGTGCTGGGGGTGTCTCAGCATTCAGAATGGACGCCTTCATCACCCCCCCATTCTCTGCACGGTACTCTGTTTCCAGCTGGCCCTCGTGCCCCTAGCCCAGTGACACCCCCTGTTGCCCTCTCCCAGGGGGAAGAACCCCTAGCTTCTGCTTGAGTGGAGGAAGCATCCCCAGCTGCATGGGGTTGAGAAGAGGACTTGGGGGATCATGTGGAATGGAATTTGAGCAATCTGGCACCTCCATTTCCAGAAACACCTGGTGCCATCAATTCTTGGCTTCTGGGAGTTTTGTGGCATCACTGATTGTGTTCTGTTTTGGCTTTCTCTGGGTTAGGATTCCACTTTCTTGGGCTGACTAAATCAATTGGCACCCATCTTCCTGTTTTCCAGCTTCCAAATTTCTGTCACTGTTATTTCCTCTACAGTGCTGTCTGTCTGTTAGGGTTCATACCCTTAACGAATCCCTTCATGGTCATCTGGGAAGGGTTTGCATCCCAACGCTTTTGTCCTGATTGACTTCTTCAAAATACCACTCTGACTTGTGTGAAGATGGGCAGTAGGAAGCAGGAGTGAAAGCAGGCACCTCCCCTCCCCGCCACAACCCAACCCCATTAAGTTACTGCGAAGGTCCAGGCAAGAGATGATGTTAGTGAGGGAATGAAGGAAAGCGGGTTACCTAGAGATAGGTTTTGGAGATAGTCAGCATGACTTCCTGATGGCTTGGGTGTAGTGAGTGTGCGAAAGTGAGGAGTCAAGATTAACTCTTAATTTCCCTGGTTTAAGTCACTGGTGCCATTTACTATGATGGGAAAACTCAGGGAGGAGCAAAATTGTGGGTGGGGGTCAAGGATTAAGGTTGAGATGCCTGTTAGACTTTCCAGTGGTGGTGTCAAGTGGCAGCTGCTTACATGCTTCTGGAATTAAGGGGAGAGATCAGGGCTGGCCTTAGCATTCACTGGCACCCAGATTGGCATTCAGATCCTTGGGACTAGATGAGATTACTTAGGAGGAAAGTATGGACAGAGAAGAAAGAGGTGTCCCCAGGACTGTCCTGAGTCATTCCAACATTTAAGGAAGAGAGGAGGAGAAAGCTGGGAGGGTGCGGTTTTCTTCTCAGTAGTAAAGAGAAGAATTTCCATGGCGAGTGGGGAAATGCTCCTCAGGTAGATGAAGATGAGGATAGAGAAATGTTCCTTTGTAGCAGAGACAACTAGCAGCCCTTTCTCCCTAGGTAATAGGACCCCTCCATTTTTAGCTAGGCACACAACTGCTCAGAATGAAACTCATATTTTCTAGTCACCCTTGTGGCTAGATGTGACCCTGTGACTCAGGTTGGCCAGTGGAGGTAAGCAGAACTGCAGTTTCCGAAACTGTCCTAAAAGGGAGGATGCATGCTTTTCTGCAGTCTTTTCAGTTGAATGGATTGTGATGTAATGGCTTGATTACTACAGCCATTTTGGACCATGAGATGACCTTAGGAATGGAGGTTACCCACTGTAAAGCAATAAGATTAAAGATCCTGGATCTTTCATACTCTGGGGCACCATAACAGCTCAGAAAGATATGAGAGAGAAATAACTTATCTTCTCTAAGTCACTTTTAATATTTTTTTGTAGTTAGCAGCCAAACTTAATTCTAACTGATATATCACTGAATCTGGCAACAAACATAGGTGGGGGTTGAACCATGAACAGCTATGACAACAGTAATAACAGTTCCACTCCTGATTCCATAAATCACTTTCAGTTTACAGAGCACTTTCAAATCCACTGCCTTTCTTTTTTTTTTTTAATTTAATTTTTTATTAGGGTATGATTGATATACACTCTTATGAAGGTTTCACATGAAAAAACAATGTGGTTACTACATTTACCCATATTATCAAGTCCCCAC